CATTCATGTATTTCTTTTCTTCATCTGTTAACCCACAGTTATCTAATGTAATCTCTATTAGTTTGTTATACACTTATTCCTTATCTTTTATCGCAATCTGTTTACTTTTAACTTACATGCTATATTCTCCTTTATTTTCTATTTTTATTCATACTTATTTTCCATTTTTGTTTGTATCTTCTACATAAAATACTTGATATTTAACTACATTGTCACCCACTATATCTCTGATACCATCTTTTATTTCATTTTTTTTGTATCTATCTAATATATAAAAAATTGTCTTTCTATTATGTGAAGCGCTTGAGGGATCATAGATATTCTCCTCCTTATACGGATTAAATATGAAGGGCGTATCACACGACTTTTCACACAACATAAGCGAAATTTGAATCGCTAAAATTAGATTTTTTGGTTTATTATTTTCAATAATGAATCATTGTATTCGAACAATTTAAAAAACTTAACACTCTCTCAAAATTTGCGGTTTTACGTTTCAGGACGCAGAATTCGAAAAACGAATACAAATTTATTTGTCCGTCTGCCGTCCGCCATATGCGCATTTTCTTTGAAACTACGGAACCAATTTCTTTCGAATTTGGATTTAAAGTGAGAGGTAACCCGAGAATGATCCTCCTTAATTGACATTACTATCCGCCTTTTCCTTTCAAAATGGCGGCCGAAAAACCGCAACTGTTAGACTGTAGCGTCTAAACGAATGTACCGATTTCAATGAAACTTGACTAATGTCTTTTTATCGCGGCCCTTTAAATATATCTATATAACATACTTAAACAAAAATAAGCTATAAAAAACTTACGAGGGATGGTAAAATTAGATTCCAAATACCTAAACAACTATAGACTTTTTTGTTGATAGTGTGATATTATGTGCCAAAGTTAATTCATAATTGATAACAAAAGTAGTTTTTGGGTCATACACAAAAATAATAAATGGGTCATATATAAAATTTTGTATTCAAGAAAAGTTCAGTCCTTTTCCGTAGAAATATATTCTATACATAAATTTATAGAATTTTTTTCTGTCATTTATGTCATGTCATTATTTTCTGTTCTTTGGTTTGGTTCTGCCTGAACAAGTCTACATCCCAAATTCCATCTAATTTGAGATTTCCAATCTGCCAATACTCTAAGATAAAATGATGGATATTTAACTCAAGTTACTAAAATCATCCTGGGAGGGAGTAGTCTGATTATTAGTAAAGGATAAAAGAAAGCGGTGGCGGATGTTTATGTATATTTTTTACCGTTTTTCATATTCTTTATAACGTAATACTTCCAATGTCAGCTGGATTGCAAATTATAAATATGCCTACCTATATAAATACAGCGAAAAGGAATTTATCACGCCCAATAATTAGGTTTAAATATTTAATATCGTAATATAAAGGGATGATTGAAATTTCAGCATAATTGGCTAGACGACGACAGTTAACCACTTAGTGGATTCCGACAGTGTTTGATTATAATTAAATATAATTCCGTAGCAATTGAAAATTGAAGGATACATCAAACGGAGATTGAAGTGTAAATTGTTAATTGCAATCGACTTGGATCCTACGTAGCAATCTAATTAATTAGCCTAAAATAGTAACACTCATCCTCTTCGCGGTCTAACCGTCTTGTCTGATTCCAGAACCAACATCCTAACTGGAACTCTGGAATACCCTGGAATATTACTCTCATCCAAGTTTATGAAGCAATGGTAGGTTATAATACTTAAATATTATCGAATTCTTATATAATTAATAATTTTTAAGTTTGTATATAATAATTTTTCATTTATATGTTTAAGATAATAAGATTTACATGAAAAAGAGTAAAAATGTCAATTAAATTAAAATATAATGCTCTTGATATTTATTTATGTACAAATTATTTTGTTTTATTAAATTATTTAAATCATATCTGATCTAAAACTTACATGACCATCAGAAGGCGACTGAAAATGAGCTAGATGACAGATCTTTCCTGAATCAAGGAAGCAAATAATGACTAGGAAGAGTTGCTGCTGAGTTCTATAGTAGTTCATGTTTATTTTTCAGAAGATTTCCAGAAAAATTGAATTTTATTACATTTTGTCACAATAAAGATTAGTAAAAGTAATAAAGGAGTTCATTCACACAGCATGTACAATAAATAAAGATAAATTATATGGAACAATTGCAGGATAATAACAATAAAATAGACATAAGTAAACAAAAATAAGTTAAAAGTTGAATTTGAAATGGAAATGGTGGAATTTGGTTTCGAACATCTATATAAATAAAAATGTTCTTTTGTTCTAAAACGCTAATTTCCGAAACTTCTTTACCGATCTCTATTTCTACAATGACAATCTCTATATCTGTATAAATAATCGAAAAACAAAAAATATCGCATATCAACAAGTATTGTGAAATAAAATATATTAGAAACATATGTTTTTTATTTCCTTTTCTATTCAAACAGACTGAGCCACAGCAACGAGTAGCCGGGTACTTACTACTTAGCATACTACTTATTAATAAAATTTATATTATTTACCGCTATAAAAAAAATATTTAAAAAAGATGAATAACACTTAAAAATTGTACACATTTTATTTTCAAAACAAACGAAGTTTACGTAATTAAGTGAATATTAATTGGTTGAAAGTAATGAAAGGAGCTTGGAAATATAGGACCATCAAACGAGCGAAATTTTCAATATAAATGATACATAAACTCATCGTACATAGCTATATATATATATATTGAAAGCCCATGATTTCATAGCCCTCCCAACCCCTCAGGCAATAACGGAGGATGCCATGTGCGAACGTTAGGGCCATAAACAAGAGGTCCAGGTGGCATTGCGACTGTTATAATTAATCCTAACGACTATATCATCTGATTTACTGTCAAGTCGCCTCTGTGAGGGGTCACTTCCCTGCAAAAGGTTGGTCACTATGGTTAATATATTATCAATATTAACATATTCTAATTGTAAGCCATGCTGCGTACTATTCCAAGGGATATAGTGATGAATACGAAAATTAACTATATACCTTAATTATGAATAGCTTCGTAAAATTTTTAATTGGGACCCCGAGACGCTCCCGTGTCTCTCACCACTACACTGAGTTAGGGTGGCTCTTCCCCTCCTTAAGAAGACAATATTTCCTAGGCACATTCCTTTATCAAATCATTAACGACCATCGTCCTTCTTATGCCTACAACCTTCTCCAATTTAAGTCCTCAATCCATTTCCTCACCACAAGATCTCGACCTTCTGACCTATACATCTCTCCTCATAGATCTGCCTCATTCCAAAACTCTTTTATAGTACTTTTGTAATTCCCTCCCGTTCAAAATGCGGCATACCCCCTCCGCATCCGCATTCAAAAACCTCCTATTCCAATTCAGGTTACAAAAATAGTCAGATACCAGCTAACTATTAAGACTATATATGCATTGGGTAGCAATCATATAATCATACGATAATACTTTGTAAGAGATAATACATGCATTTACTACTTTCGACGTAGGAATTTCAATACATCTATTTTTTTTAAATATTATTTTTTATTCAATTATAACTAACTTCATATATATATATATATATATATATATATATATACAAGTAAAGTTTTTTATGAAATGAACTTATTCTATCTCTTTTTCGTTCTTCACTTCTAAAAGTGTATCTTTGTTGTTCAACCATTATATATAGTTTTGAGTGATTTGTTCATAGTTTCAAGTGTTTTGTTCATAGTTTAAAGTGTTTTGTACATAGTTTTATCTGGATTGTATATAGCTTGTTTACCTAAGGTTTCTTTACTTTTAAATTTATTTTATCAATGCAGTTTCAAACTTTTAGGTCAGTAGTATTCTGTTCTTTTTGTACGATTTTGTTTTTTCAAGGGACTTTGTCCCAGAATAAAGTTCTTTTTTCTATCTATCTATATATTTATTTCTGGAGTTACGATTCTGGGAGGGCCTGGCCCTCTCTTCATTATCTTCCTTCTATACGCGGTATTATTTATTTTCGAATTTTCATTCTCAACATCGTTCTTTTCTTCTTTTAATGAATTTCTCACATTTAACTTACGATATTGTTTTAAAAAAGATGTATTTGAACCATGGAGTCAAGACTTAAAGAATAGTTGCATCTACTAAATTCATGGAAAGTTTCGGTAGGTTCATTAATATTCTTCTAGGATTTATATTTATATATATATATAATTTTGTATAGCATTTTCTTAAAAGTATTATACCTGTAGGCTTCCCCTAATTAAGAGAGTAATGGTCTAACTTCTCGCGAGGACCAGCCGTATTGGGAAGTTGGGAAGAATTTATATAGTGATTATTAAATAATGTAACAGTCATTATTCATAGTATTCACTTATATATATTTTTTTATTTCAGTTGCAAAACATGACACTAAAATAATGAAAATATGTATTTATTTAAGTAGCCAAAATAAAATTAATAGAATGATTCAGAAATATATAGTCATTTTAAATGAATATATGGGAAAAGAAAATCACCCTACTAAATAGCTATGAAATAACATGAAGATACAATAACATTGCAAGTAGCAGCAGTGATGACCAGTGTGAAATGGAAATAATAATATATTTGATTATATTATTATTATTATATATATATATATATATATATATATATATATATATATATATATATATATATTGTGAAAATGTTTAGTTTGATTTTATACATGATTATTAATTTTATTTTGCATTTTTCTAATTTTTGTTTTGTTTCTTAGAATACAAATAATACGTGTCAATTCATCTATTAATTGCGTATTTTTTTTTCTAAATTGAAATGATTAATCCACAAATAACTGTTAGTTTTGAAAAAAATAATTACATTGAACTATTTTTTGTCAGTTTGGATTGTACAGTCCACTGTGCCATTACAAGATCTCATGACCGATTTTATCTTTTTATAAAAAAGTTTTTTTTTTTTTATAAAAAAATTATAACCGATTTCCATGAGATGGGTATCCTCGGATCTGGAAGGTATCCAGGGTACGAGGGAGCTGGGTACTAAAGCTGACACTCCAGATCCACCAGCCAGGAACACCACCCGCATCAAAATCACGGGATATATATCGGGAGATAAGCAGGAGTCGCGAACCGGTTCATTCCGAGCCATTTATCGGATAGTCCGCTCCTAGCGCCTATAAACTTTACAGCCCAAAGTTTCCCGCTTTAGCAGAACCTGTTAAATATTTCTCAGATACTAAAAATGTTTATCGAGGCTATAAATTAACGAAAGATCTCAAAGTAGACTCAAGTCAATCGCCTCCGAAACGAGGAAATTAAATAATTATTTAAAAAATATCTTCTTTGATTTACAATAAAACTATAATGTATATAATCTACCAGTCACAGATACTTTAAGAGAATTTTACATACATAACATTAATATGTCGTAAAAATTTTCGAACATCAAACGCATCTAATCTTTCCAGTCTAAAGTCCTCCGTATAATAGTCAATGCTCCTTATTATGCATAATATCTTACATCATGAACTTAACATCCCTTATGTCCTTGACGTTATTTCATTCCGAATCTCATATTTTCACTTGAACCTAATGCACCACCCTAATCTCTTAGCACAATCCTTATCCAGTTCCAGTCACCCCTACAATCCTCCTCGACGGTTGAAACGACAGTGGCCACGGGCTCTTTTGTAAATATGTCATTGGAGTTCTGGCATAGGCCAGATTCTCCACTCAAGTCATGAGCGTCTGTTGCTGTAGTGCCCTCCATCAGTTTCCACTGGTTTCAAATAACAGTGACGCGGATGGGAGAGAAGCACTGGGATCCCCTGGAGTCCTGCCTTGGCTTCCACATAGGACGATAAGGCATGACTTAGAGTCCCTTGGGTGAATGTAAATATTGTACATAGCTGCGAATGTTTTTTATGCCCTTTTTCAGTCTACCTTCGATTATTCGGCTGAAATTACTGAATGTGCCGAGAGATTGGGGGTTGATCAGGGTAACCGAAATGTGAAAGCTCTACTGCAGTCGCTACTAGAAAATGCATTTGAGGAGTGGGCCAACTGCAGGTGGTTTTCGCCATTTTAAAGAGACCCCTAAAGCGAATAGATACATCTATAAAAATCAAGTACTTTCTGGGTCTGAATGGTCAAATGCCCTAAAACTAAACATTAATTATGCACCCCTGCGTGGAGTCCCAAGAGTCAGCGGACAGGTCGGAGAAGTTGGGTCCCTCTGCCGTAAATGCGGCAGAGAGTCTGTAACACCAGCCCATGTGCTGGGAAAATGCCCCAACAACTCCCTCCTCATAACACGTCGTCACCACCGGGTCAAGTTCGAGTATGATGCTCCTTAGGGAAAGGAAATTCACCTGCTTTGACGAGGTATATTGCATCGATAGTGAAGGCTCTACGAGATACGCGGATATCGTCCCATTTCCCAAGACAGGAAGGACAGCGCTGATCTTGGATCCAACTGTCCGCTTTGAGAGCAATGACCTCGACCAGGCGGGTGAAGTGGAAAGGAAAAAGAAGAACACGTACGATAAATGTATCCCTTTCCTAAAAGATAAATTCCGTGAGACCTTCGGAGAGAGAGAGTTCACCGGGAGAGGCCTCTGGTTTGGGTCTCGCGGAACTATCCCAAAAAGAACAAGGAGCTTCCTCGAGGAACTAGGTGTCGACATTAAGGACGTAGCGAGGTTGGCTGAAAATATAGTCCTCGACTCCCTGAGAATCATTCACCACCACGTGCATGGTTAGCCCGAGAGTTTTAATTTATGTATTTAATGAATAATTGAAAACAATAGAGATAAAGACAGAGAAGTGAGAGAAAGGGAAACTAAATGTAAAAAAAAACAAAACATAAACAATGAAAGGAAGGAAAAAGGAAAAAAAAAAATGGAAAAAAAATGTATATATTAACTAATATGTATATATTAACTAATCTTGTAGCCTTAATATTAATGCCATTTAATGTGGCAGAATGTATTAACATTCAATAAAAAAAAAAAAACTTTCTTACAAATGAAATATTCCAATGTTAAATAGCAAAACATATTTTAACAATGAATATTGAATAAAATATCAAAGAATGAAGGAGATATTGTACATTGTACCTTGAGAAACCAAACAGCCTGGACATTAGCAAAAGGGGAAGTTAGGACCCAGGTTTCAATTTGCAGTGTGTGGTAACGAGAGGGCTACAGATCCCTGTTTAATTTGCCTAACAGCAGTTTTAGGGGAGTCGCCATTATTAAAGTGGGCAAGGACCGCTGTACTGAATAAGTAGAGTCCTGTTGGTACAATAGCTTAGTAATCCTGGCAGCTTGTTGCTCAGTTAGGCCCTACAACCTCTACAATCAATTACACGCAACAAAAATAACCGACAAACCAAACAGCTCAAACATGGACGGGATTATTGTTAGTTATGAATGAAAATCAATACAAATAAGATAGTATTTGACCTCGGGAAAATGTATAAACAGATTTAAAAAAATTAAATTAAAGGTTTTTGTGATCCTAATTTTATGATAGCGAATTTGTATATACCTACTAGTCCTGTCATAAATATTGTTACGAGGAAATATATACAGATTTCAACAAAAAAAATATTTTTTTCAAAAACTTTATTAGAGAATAAAATGTATATCTATAGAAAGTAAAACAAAAAATAAATTCAAAATGTCCCCCTTTTGCCTTGACACAATCATTTAATCTCCGTGGCCAGTCATCAATAGCAGCACGCAACACTTCTTGAGGAAAGCGCTCAACTGTTCAGATCAGAGATTGTTTGAGACTTTCATAGTTAGGGAGTGCTCTGTGGCATGGCATCCTCTCCAGTTCGAACTAAAGCCGATAATCTAGTGGGTTGAGATTACAGCTTTCCTGAGACAAAGATGAACTCTCGAATGTTCTTTTGCAGCCACTGCTGAGTTGACCTGGCCTTGTGAGCTGGTGTGGAATACTGCTGGAAAACCCAACCAGCAAACAGAGTATCATTTAGAGGCTTGACAACAGGTTCCAAAATACCGTTCTAACTGTTTTTAGAAATGTTTTAGCTCTTTTTTTCTACAAAAGTGGAGCTTATGGTGCCATAAAAGCAAACTCCCCACCAAACCGTCACTGAGGAAGGATGACCTCTTCCCACTTTTCCAATGACTTCTGCGGATTCTTTAGAGCTGTGTTCGTAGACACGATCATTTTGGCGATTAAATTTTTCTTAATTTTAAACATTTTCTCATCGCTAAACAAAATCGTTCGATGAAGACCATTAGTGTAACGACCAAGAATCACTTTGCATCTATCCACTCTAATTTTTTTTAGGGAAGAGGTTAGCCTTTGTCCTGTCATTCTTCGAAATGCACCTATCCTAAGGTCACTTTATTATGCGGGACATTGATCCGACTGAGATTCACATGATTTGTTGTTTTAGAATGAGATTTTTTCTGATTCGAACAGCCACTGCTCTTACTGCATTTGCCGTTCTCACAGTGCGGGGACGACCCGGCCGAGGTCTGTCACATACAGGTAAGGTCTCATTATATCTATTTATAGTGCGGTACACGAACATACGGCTGATACCCGAAGGTTTAAAAACGTTGAAAATCTCTGACCTTGTGACCTACAACATTGTGTAAGGCGATCACAGCTATTCGGTTTTCTTTATCATCCCACTCCATTTTAACTGAGCGAAAGAAAAATACAAACTAACTGGGATTAGTATTCTGGCATGTATAGAAAATAACCTGATAGAGGTAAGGTTTATTTAAATAATTACCAAGAATGCAAACAAAGTTCAGCTTTTGTAATAGCATTTATAGCAGAACTAGGTATGTATTGTATATATTATGATAATATATCTGGTCACACACACATACCATTTTGCGAGACTTATTTGGACTTAAGAGACCTCAAAACGTGTATTTTCTCTGAAAATTCGGAATCGAAAATTATCACGACCGCAATATGCATATTGTTACGATATAGGTAAGTGGAAGTAATAAAATATAGTCATACTGGAATAAATAAATAAAAATATGCTACAGCATTAAGAGTATGTTGACGTACAAAATATATTCGGTCTATCACCAGTAGAATAAACCAGGATCGTGATTTAAATTGAAAATGGCGCTGAAGCCCATCTTGAGTGAAGACTATAATTAATCCAAGTCAACTATCGTGGAATGACGCAAAGGCTTTCGCGTATTCTGTTTGACGAGCGGATGTAAACCACAATTCAATTAACAACTACAATTAACTCGACGCGTAAAGTTTAGTGCCCAAAGCCAAATGAATTAATTCCATTTCTTTAAGTTTCCCACGATTATAAAACACAATACTAAAACTAATATAAATATAAATAAAAAAAAAATAGAATAGAAAAATAACTTTATTCTGGGACAATGTCTCCTAAGGATAACATAATGTTGCAGAAAAAGAATAAGAATTATTTCTGGCCAGAAGTACTAGTCCGTGGTACAGACCCCTTTTTATCGAATTATTAACATCCGCCTGAAATTTCTTAAATAGTTTCATCTCATCGTAACCAATAACTATTTTATTTACGAAAACTCTTGGAATTGGGGCGTTTTCAATCTGGAGGGGGACAAACTTTGTCTATTTAATTAGGTACTATAAGCTCGTAAATACCAATTTGCTTTCTACTTAGATCGTAAGATAATTTATATAAAAAATATAGAAAAAATATTGGGCCGTTTGGCCTATATAACTTCGTTATTTTTAAAATTTGGTGGTATAGGTCACGGCAAACGGCTCAATATTTTTGAAAGCCACCTTTTTTCTCGATTTTGTGATCAAAGTATCTTACGAGATCCAAGTAGAAAGCAAATGAGTATTTGCGAGTTTTCAGTACCTAATTAAATAGACAATGTTTGACCTCCTCCAGATTTAAAACGCCCCAATTTCAAGAGTTTTCTAAAATAGTTGTAGGTTACGATGAGATGAAACTATTTACTAAGTTCCAGGCGAATGTTAATAATTTAATGAAAAGGAGTCTGTACCACGGACTACTGTTACAACCGCATGTAAACCAAAAAAACAAAAGCATGCAAAACCAAAATAATGCAGCTATATGCAAAATAATTAGAAATATAACAATAAAAATAAGAAATGAGCCAAAATTATCGCTGCTTGGCTAGAAAATAAAAATAAACCATATCTTCTCTATTTCTTTTTCTTTTCTTTTTATAGAAAGAAAGCAACAAATGAAAAATTGATTCTTGTGATAGATGAGCAGTAAAAAAAAAATAATAAAAAATAAAACGTAAAATAGAAAAGAAAAAAAAAATGTATGTATTCTATAAGCAAAGTTGGTTCCGTCCATGAAGTCTATGAAACAAAGATAAAACTTACTAATCTTAAAATAATGATAAATTATTGAGGTTTGGGTCTAGATTATTTTGTTTTATTTTTATAAAATTCCATTCGTGAATGAATGAAACATATGGATTATAAACATCAATGTATATTCATAGGCACGGCTATACATCGAAAATTTCAACTAGTTCGATTTGGATCATAGTTGGAGCAATATTTGGGATTAATGATAAAATTCTGCAGTATATATTTTATCGAATTTCATCAACTACGTCCGTTTGCGTCTACGCAAATGTATATACACATTACTAAAACAAACATAAATAATGCAAATTTTCACTATATATTGTTTTTTTAGAATTTTTATTTTCTAGAAGTTTAGCATAACTTAGTTTTTCGTGTTTTTTTTTTTAAATTATGAAAATATCACATATATCATTTCTGCAATAAACGATTCAAATATGTTATTCACAAAGAATAGATATTTACTAATAATATAAATGATATAATTTCATGTTTAACGTTCATTAAAATAACTATTAATGAAGTATCATGTAGTATAACCCAGTTAGAAACATCTCAAACCAATCACATTCAAAGGATGTCAGTAGTCACACTGCTAGCTTCTTTATTTTTCAACTGATGGCACTAAAATAAATTTAGAACATAGATAATTTAGTTGAGAGTGATTTTTTAATGAAAACCCAATTAGCGCAATTATGTTAGTTAGAAACTTTTCAAACCAATGCCACAACTTATTGCAAGAAAGAAAAATCGTTCCTTATAGCATGTACTTTGCTTGGGTAAGCACCACTGAACATTTAAAAACTTCATGAAGCCAAAAGTTTTCTAGCAATTAAATAAATACTAAAATATTGCTAACTTATTTTCTAATATCCATAAGATAAGTGGAGTGAAGGTTTTAAATGAAGACTGAAAAAATTTTGGTCTACCTCTTCCTGGAATCACCCTCCATATTTTATGAATTCAAAAAATCTTTAATCCTCCGAGGTGGTAAATCCTAAAGTCTTTTCAGTTTTAATTATTCATTGATTCTTGACGTTTTTAATCTTAACATTGAAATTTTCTCATTTAGTATTCCATTTTGCAATAATAATAAATGGTTTTATATTGACTTTACAATCAGGGAAAGTATTGTTTCATAATATATAAAAGAGCTTATTTTGATTTTAAAGTTACATCTTAAATCGCAATGATATGCCTGAGACATTTGGATAAATGTTTCAGCCAACAATATAGATTGATACCAATAGGTAATACCTATTAATAATAATAATTTAGATAATTTATATTTATAGATATCTTTAGATAACATGTCGGCATAGTCATTAATGATAAATTAGTTTGAAAGTTTTTTTTAGAATAAAAAAATAGGTAAAGTGATTTATATATATTTAATTTGTTCATCTCCTTACTAACTTTTTTCGATTAACAGATAAATATACAATATATAATTTCTCGTTCAAAAGAATTCCCTCCATCTTTAGAGAAATATGCAGAGTTAGACATTATTTGGTTAAAAATATACCCATAAAATATATATTAAGATTTTTAAATCATGCATTATCCCAACCCATCCTTCAACCGTCCTCACTACTTATTCTGATGACACATGTGTGTCATCTGTCAATAATGAACCTACTGTTGCATCTCATTCTCTGCAGTCACACATTTCAGCTATTGAAGTATTGTGTGAAAAATGGAAAATTAAAATTAATGCAAATAAATCCTAACAAATTACTTTTACCCTTCGCCGTAAACCTACAACTTCCTGTCCTTCCGTATCCTTTAAAAATATTCCAATGATCTCTGTCGAACAGATCCGTTACCTAGGACTCCTTATTGACAAACGCCTTACTTGGAATCCTTATGCTAGACTTAAAAGACAAGAACAGATTCCGACTACTTCAACACTTCCTTGACAAACGCTCTAAGCTTCCAATATTCTACAAAAAAACTCATTTACACTACCATCATCAGGCCCATTTGGACTTATGGAATACAATCCTCCGTAAAATCCTAAATGCTCCTTATTATGTCACAAAGAAAATTATCCATAAAGACTTTGATTTTCCTCTTGTTAAAGACTTGGCCGGAACTAGATATTTTTATTTTTATTCCAAACTCTTTGCTTACTCCAATCCCCTAGTTCATAAACTTTCATCTAATACAATTCCTGACAACCCTCCAAGGCGTCTGTAAAGAAGACGGCCATCTAGATTAATCTAATCTTTGAAGTGTTACCAATGGGTAGCTTCTTCACAAGTTCTTATCATTTTATATATTCCTGTAGCGGATTTGCTTTTTATAAGTAAATTACAATAAATAAAATAAAACAAGAATAAAAGTTTATTAAAAGATACTAAAAACTTAATTTGTTGCGATTTTCATGATTTGATCGGATTTTCCAGAGCTTGAACCATTAATGTTATTTTGTTAAATACTATAAATATTGATTGTGCTGTAGGATCTATGAGGTGTATATTGGATTTTTGTGTCTGGCTAAATTATATCGTGTGTGTGTATGAAATGTAGAGTGATAAGCGTGTACTGTAGCCGAGATGAGATCTGGTGGAAGATAGTTCTGACCTGTGTCAGAATTAAAAATGTCGGAAAGGAAGGATTGTGGAATTATTGTCTGGGTAGAAGTATTGTCTTAAAAAAAATATGTGATTACGATTGAAAAAAATAATTTTGTTTTTAAAGGAATACAAAAATCAACAACACTTTTACTCAGATTCATGATGAGTATTTATTTTAAAGTGAAAATTAATAAAATAAAATTTCGTTTTTGAAAATATTAACGTTCTTTTTAAAAAACCAAAAGGTGAATTCATAAAAAAACTTGTTTAAATACTTTCTATTTCATAATAAAAGCTTATCGAGAATCACTCATTCGTGTTTACTTTATAACTTGAAAGCCACCGATCTCTTCAATTTACTTTTAATGTGGAAAATTTCCCCCAAACGTCAAATTTTTTACTAAAATAATTATAAAAATAAAATAAAGGAAAAGAAATTTTACAAATAAACCTATTAAAC